TTTGTATTGTAGTTTGGAGAATGTAATAACTCATATTTAGTCTCCCTGTGCTAGTGTATTTCCTCTGTAGTCCATTCTTCTCAGAAGTCACCTGAATGAATTCATCCGAAAGGGAAATCTGATCAGTCAGATTAGATTTTGACCTGGTCTAACCTAAATGGCCAGATTTCCCCGCCTGGGCAATCTCATCTACTCCTATAGCTTTAAGCGCCCTGTATGAGGACAACTCCAGAATCTTCTTTGCTAGCCTCTATTAAGCACTCCTGAATCACTCCTGGATATGTTGTTCACTCCTTTGATGTTCAACTGGCATTTCAAATCAGCGAAACTAGTTGTTACCTTCCCTACCTGCCCTACCTCCCTTTCCCTCTCTCCTTCTGCTACACGACACCACACACACACCCCAAAACAAAAACTTATTTTTCTTAAATTTCTTGCTTGGTTATTCTAGCACAGTCCTCCCAGACACATAAACTAAAAGCCTAAGAAGTATTGTCTACTCTTTCCTCTTTCCCACCATCTCCCACAAATGACTGGCTATCAAGCCCCCAAAATTTACCTCTGAAATATATCTTAAATCATTTTTCTCTCCAGATCCTTGATTACTGTCTTAGCTCAGGCCTTTATACCACTTTTCTGTACTACTCCAACAGCTCCTCAACTAGCTTTCCTGTCTCTAATTCTTATCTACTCTCTCCATTTCTCCTAGAGTGGTCTCTTTAAATACTGGATATAGTCATGTCACTCCCTTCCTTAAAACTCTTCAGCAGTTCACCTACAGGATAAAGTTCGTGTTCCTCAGCCTGCTAGACTAAGCTTCTCCCTAACCTCTGACCCTTTCCTCCTTTACTGTTCAGCCACATGTGCATTCAACTTGTAGTTTCGCAGATTGACCACTTGTTTTATTTGTTAATTTTACAACCTGTTTGTTCTATCTGGAAATCCTCCTTGAATCCATCCCTTCATACCCCACCTAATAGTATGCTGGAGTTGGCACCTATCAGCTAGGGATAACTGATTGTTAAATATTCAATGTTTTACTTGAAAGCAGCCATCATGGGGGAATTTATGCCACAAACATTAGCAAACACCATAAATCAGGACTCCTCTCACACCCACCCTGACCCCTGCGAAAGCTGGTCTAGCACACCACTATCCCTATGCAACTGGCAACCTTTGCCTCAAATTCTGACTTAGGCAGTTCTTTAAAACCTTTCCTGCCTAGCCTTCTTCTCTCCATACACATGAAATTGATTACTGCTTCCAAACCCTTTAACATGCTTTATTATAGTATTTATCATCATCTAGGACAATTTTGTTCACATTTCACTTTTTAATACTACACTCTGAGTTCCTGGGGGCAGAGTCTCTATCTCAATTGTCTTTGCATCTGTCATTCATTTATCTACTCGACATTCATTGAACTGAAACAACTAAACCGATAGATTTAATTTGTATCAGGTACTATTCTCAGGGTACAAAGATGAAAGGATTTAGCCACTCTATGCAAGAACTCGTAGTCTATTCCATGAGAAATTCAAATAGTCCATTATAATACAGTGAGACAAGTACATTGCTAGAAGTCCGTACAGGACACATTGGAACCTGGAGGAAAAATCCCTGCCCAGGGTAATGGGGAAGTCTTCACAGATCAGGTAAGACTTAAAGGACGAACAAAAATTTGTTGCCTGTAAAAAGGTGCTACAGTTAGTATTTTTATAGATAGAATTTTTTAATAGAATTTTTTTTCCACTCTGGACAGCTGAATTACGCAGGCTCTTTGTTTCTGAATAAATAGTGGTTTTATGTGGAAACCCCATGTAAATGCCTATGAATTAGGCATTCTTTGAATGAGTATAGTACATCCCTGAATAAGGTCATTTTGTTCAAGGTCATTTTATAAAAACAATGAGAGATGCCGTAGAAACTTAACTCTTGTTTATATCAATTAGCCTGTGGTAAAATTGGTTTCATTATCCGTTATTTTGCCTAAAGTCACAGAACCTACCAACAGTGTTAAGTGAGGACTTACTGTATTGTATCTGTTATGACAATGTCCAGCTGTATAATGAAGGCTTTTGGATTTGAAGATCTCTTGGGACCCTTTCAACTCTGGGACACCGACATGTTCTTTGGGTCTCTCAGGTTGTGATAGATCCTCACCTCAGTAACACTAACTTTGATTTATTCTAGAGTAAGATGAGTGGGGTGAGGGAGCTATTATAGGAAGGCACATTGAGTGTATAGTATTGGTGGTAGAAGGTCAAAAGAGGCTCAAAGTATAAACCTCCAGTTACCTCCTGCTTTTGCCACCAGATGGCGATCAGACATTTGAGAGACTTAAGAATTGACTTTAAGACCCCGGAGACTGGCTCCCTTAAGAAACGGAGAAACTATAAATTAATGCTGTAATTCATTATGTGTATATGTTAAGCCCTGTCAACAATTTAAGCAGTGAAAAGTAGTTACCTTTAGTTTATACCTTAAGTATAGTTACTTAAGATATAGTTTATATGTAGCTATAGTTACATAAGGTTAGAAATATTTTATCAAAGATGATGTGATTAGAGTCTATGAAATCATGATGAGTGTAAAGTAAGCAGCAGTACTGTTGAATTCATCAAATATTGGTATACTTGAATGAAGAACCATTCTTGTTAACCTTAAAATTGATAAAGGTAGAAATATCAAAACAGTATTAACATGAGGTGCTGCCATGTGGAAATATAAAATGTTATGGTTCAACAAAGTAGGTTAAACTGATGTGTGAAGGGTCCATCAACAGGCATTAAGAGAAATGAGAGATACTTAGGGAACATCTCTGAACTCTGGATGTTGCGTCAAGGGAGACAGCTGTGCTTTTCTTCTATATGAGGCCAGCAGACCTTTTCTATAAAGGGTTAGACAGCAAATATTTTAGGCTTTCATGCCATATGGTCTCTTTCTGTTCAACTCGACTATGTTAGTGTGGGCGAAAGCTGGGATCCATAAGTGTTTCTCTTTTCTAGGCCTCAGTCTCTGGTTTCTGTCAAATAGGAGTGAGATTAGATGATCTCTGACATTTTTCAGATTCTGCATCATTTAGTACCATTCTTTGAAGCTAAGTGATCCATAGGCTGACCAGAGTTATATTTTATTTATAAGGTCAATTTTTTGAAAAATCCAGCTTTAACAAATTTGTAAGTCTCTAGAGTAGTTCCTCAACCTTGGCACTATTCTCATTTTGGGCTGGATAGTCCTTTGTTGTGGGGGGAGCTGTCCTGTACATTGTAGGATATTTAGTAGCATCTCTGGTCTCCTGTACACACTAGATGCTAGTTGCACATATACTCTCCCCAACTGCCAGTTGTGACAACCGAAAATGTTTCCACACTGCCGAATATCCCCTAGAAAGCAAAATAACTCCTGTTTGAGAACCACTGCTCTAGAGACTTTAAGAATAACTAGAAGAATACCAAAAATGGAAATCAGTGTATGTAACCCAGGGTGACCACCAAAATAATAAACACATTTCTTTAGGTGCAAGGTCAAAAAAGCCAAAACTGAATAGAACAACCAACCAGCGTATTAGAGAGAAAAGAGCAATGAGAATTGTATTCACCCAATCAAAGGGGGCTGGAAAGCTGGTAGCAGATTGCTTTTTAATATTGATTTAGATCGCTTTATGGAAAGTTTCTGAAACCAGTGAACCCAAATATAGGGCTGTCTATACTGGGTAGCTGAAAAGTCAAAACAAGCATAAATGAAGAGAAATAAAAATGATCATTATTTTAAAACACCAACAGTATTTACTTTTCACTACGCTTATACTGCTTAACGAGCTCACTAGCAGAAAGAATTTATACTGGGTGAATTCATTAGCCTTCATCTATGAGGACTGGTGTTTTGTTTTGCTTTAAATGGATAAATTAAATGTAATTTATTTCTACAGTAGAATATTATTTATTGAAAAAAGTGAATGCAGGACAGCTTCACACAACTACGTAGATTTTTGAAGCTAAGATTTAAATATCAGTAAAGCTGGTTCTTTTAACAAGTCCAGATCACATAGCTAGCCTGTGATTTAGCTAAATTTAAAAGCCAAAATCATCTCTATTTAACAATAAAGGTACACTTGATTTCCATCTACCTTTTATTTGTGCCCATATTATTTCTTTTAATAATCCATTCTCTTCCTGTTGTAATATTAATCATAGCTGACAGGCCCTGAATATCCAAATGACTTTGTATAGGAATTTTTTTGTCTTGTTCTCCTTATTTTCCTTTAATACAGTGTGATGTTTTCTAAACAATGATCTAAGAGTGGCTATAAACACTTATTCTAGTCATAGGCTCTGCTTTCGACCTGCTCTGTGACTTGCGGCAATTTTTCCTCTGCTGATGGAACAGTTTCTTCATCTGTAAAACTGTACAGAGATTCCTTCACTCTGTTCCCAGAATGACTACAAAAGAATCATCTTCAAAGCCTTGTTTAAAATATAGATTTTTATACTACACTCCCAGATTCTGTTTCTGTAGTCTAGAGTAAGGCCTAGGAATGCCATGTGATTCTAGTCCGTGGCCAAGTTTGAGAACAATTAGAAATGATCTCTAAAGTTCGTTCAACTCTCAAATGTAGTTATATAAAATATATTTCCCTAAAAGTCCTTTATTATGTCATTTTCTGGAAGCTTTTTTATATACCTGCAAGAAATAATTGAGATGAATACATTGTAGCTTCCCCCAAATACCCACATACGTACAACTTTACGTAAACTTGGTTTGCTATATAAATGGTCAGCTTATGGCTCAGGTGATAAATCTCGATCCCCAGTATGTGTTAGAAGATGGTTTCCCTTTTCATCAGGATGCCATCTCATAGCTTTTTGTTTTCAGTCTTGGATTTAGAGAAGAATGAAATAGTTTGATATCCTGATTTCCATATAACCATAAAGTGAAATAAAATTAGAAATTCTGTGTGGTTGTTAATTTCTATTTGTTTGTTTTTCTTTAATTTACAGAATGCTCTTTTCAGTTGCATTAGCAGAAATGAAAGTAAGTATATGTTGATGGTTATACAAGCAGTCCAAAGAGCAAAACACAGTTTACAGAATATGATTTAGCTATTATAAATATTTCCAAGACCCTGACATTATGACTTAGGCTGTTAGTAAACCATCTGAAGGAATGTGCCCAGCAGGATTCTGATAGGCACTTTCCTCTAGGATGTTCAGGCCATTCATGAATTATAATGATTCCCATGTCCTAATTGCAGATTTTCATAGCAGATACTAGTGCTTGCTGTGTTAGAGGAAGATCATGCCCCACTTGAATAAATACAATCACTTTCAGAAGTTTAGCACTCCCACATGGTATAATGTAGCCCTTGTGGAGGACTGCCTCTCAGTTCATTCAGCAGTCATTGACTGCTTGCTCTTTGTAGGGCAAAAGCACATCTGAAGGGGACACAACCTGTATACAAAGAACTCTGGGACATGGTAGATATGGGATAGTGTCACTGATAAAAGTGCTGTCGAGTTCAGAGGAAGGAGTGATCACATCCTGCAGGGGTGCTTAGAGGTAGCTGCAGGGAGTTGGTAAGTGAGCTGGGCCTTGAAGGAAAGACATTCCAGATGAAAGGAATAGTGAGACCAGTTAGAGATGGGAAACATCTGAGGAACGAAGAGTTGTTTAGACTAGCTTGTCAGTAGGATTATATCAAAGTATGATAAGCGTTTGCTGCCTATACTTTATCTTCTACCCTTTCTTACAGGGGCTTAGTTGAAGACTTCCCATAGTCTCTGGCATGTAATCTTATGTCCTCCCACACTGGCAAGGAAGCCAGCATAATGGAGAATCAGAAGATAGGCATCCTTGTCATATTCTCACTTGTCTCTTCTGTCTTAAGCAGCCCCCCAAACCCCCCACTTTATCCTCATTGAGTTTGACAGTGATAAATGTTGTCATTAATAATTGTTCTTTGTGATGAAAATGAACAAGTCAGCAATGAACACATTAAGTTGGGTGGTAATTACAAATCAAAAACTTAGGTGTCACAATAGGTATAATATAGTTCCCCAGTCCAGGAAACAGATCCATCCTGCATCAGTTTAGTCCTAGTTTAATTTGTATATGATTTTAGCTTTAATCATTAGTCATTATCCTGGCCCATCTCAGATCTTTATTTGTGAAATTTCCTGAATTCGCTGCTCATTCCCTGGTCTGTGGAATTTACCAGAAACTTTATTCTGGTCACTCCATAACCATCTCTAATAATTATCAGAGATTTCCTTCCTACCTTTCTCATAACCTTTTCCTGCCATACCTCGACCTTGGCTCTCTTCAGCTTCCCACAGACCCCTCTGCCTCTCCTGTGAATGTCTCTTGCTCTTCATTATAAATCTCACAACTGCACCCCGCAGTTGCTCATCTAGCTCTTCCCGGATACCTTAAATGGTCCCCCACAATTTTTAAAAATATGCAAATCCGGAATCATATTTATTTCAAATGTGGATTTTACTTTTCAGATTTGAAGCAGATCATGTCAGTCATGAGGTGAAGACTGTTTTAATTTAGGCATATTCTTGCAGATACTCATATAGAACTGGGATTTTATTTCAAGATATACAGTTAGGTAATTGTCACATTTATGAAATGATCCTTATATCTCTTAGTTTTTACTGGTCTTGTTTTATAAATGTGAGGCATTTGGGGTTTTATTTTGGTTTTGTTTGTTTCATTTTGCTTTGCTTTGTTTATAAATATTCACAAATCTACTGTGGAAAAAAAAGCTGTTCTAGTAGTTCTCAATATGGGTGCTATTGGCATTTTGGGAGACAGTTTTGGTTGTATGAGACTGTCCTGTACGTTGCAGGGCGTTTGTCGGTCTTGACCACTATACAGTCAATGTCAGCAGTGGTTCCCAAGTCATCATGAAAACCAGAAACATTTGGTGGGGGGTGGGGTGCAGTTTGCTTCCGCTGAGAACCACTGAACTACAGACTATAAATTGACAAATAGTGAATTTCTTTTATACCAGTGAGCACCTGAATGTTCCCATGGCTATGCCTACAGTAGTGCAATTTTAAGTGCTTATCTTCTATGGCCTAGTTTTATTTCTCAAATTCAAAAAGACACATATTGTTCTATCATTATTATGATGATTTAATATTAACAAATAGCCGTTTCCATTTTAATGCCATCTTTTCTTCTCCCTAGTGGGCTCAGTTTGTTGCAGTTATGCAGGCCACCACACAAACTGCCGAGAATACTGTCAAGCCATTTTTCGAACAGACTCGTCTCCTGGTCCATCTCAGATCAAAGCAGTGGAAAATTATTGTGCCTCTATTAGTCCACAATTAATACACTGTGTGAACAATTATACCCAATCTTATCCAATGAGAAATCCAACAGATAGTAAGTAAAAGGGACATATTCCTCTCATTTCAATCTTTGGTAAAATAATTTGTAAAAAGGAAATAAAATCCTGTAGATATCTGCAGTCTGGAGCATTTGGGAAATACCAGACATCTTTTGGTTTTTAGATTTGACAGATTGGACATTACTGTCACAGCTAAAAGATACCTAGAAAGACAGATCTGTGAAGGGTTTGAAGGAACAGGCACTCTTTATTCTGCGGTGGGAGAATTTGTTAGTATGGATATTGGGGGTGAGGTGGGGGGGGGTTGGGTTACGACCATGAGAATTTCAAATAATCATACCTTTTAATCTAGGAACTCCATTTCTCATTTTGTCCATCAAGAAAACTTACAAATTTGCAAACATTTATCTACACATATAAAGGATGTTTGCTGTAACATTAGTAGTAATAGAGAAACTTAGAAATAACCCAAATATCCATTAAAAGGGTATTGATTAAAATTGATTAAATAAATTATATATCTTTATAATACCAACACCATACAACCAACATAAAGAAGTATGTTCACATAGAAGTCCAAGATATATTAAGCAAAAAAAGTTGCAAAATTAAATGTATAACTATGATATATTTTTAGTTATATACTTGTTTGTTCTGTATTACATATATCTGTAAGATTTAAATTTTTACCAATAAACAGTTATTACTTTTATAATAAAAACATTATTAAATGAGAAGAGGTCCTGATACCTTTTAAAATTAGGGCTTCCTAATGAACCCATACCTTATGGGGTCTTCAGAGTCTCAGCTTTGTACAGCCTATAATCCATTTTCTTCATTTAGAGGTTATCAAAGTTTAAGGAGCTGACAAATTAACCAAAATGACAAAAGACTTATAGGATTTATAAGCCAAATGGCCAGTGTTTTGATCTTCTGGGATATTGAAAGACTTGTTTTTATAAACTCAAAAGCAGTGCTATGTGCCTTGTTTGTCCAGCGTCTAAAGCAGAACTCTAAGGCTCTTGATACTCTGTGGTGTGGCTATGTGATGAAGCATTTGCCACAGATGACCTTCATTTTAAAGGCCTCTCTGACAGAAGTGTTGCTGGAGCTAAGGTGATTGAAGCTCAAAAAAAAAAAAAAAAGGCAGACTTTTAACGGTAAAAGAACAACCCTCTCAAGAGTCTGGAAATCTGGGAAAGAAAGTTACAAGCAGATATGCCTGAAAAGAGTTCTTAAAAAGTCAAAGACATCTGAAAAAACTACTTCAAAGAAGCCGTCTGAATTCTATAGTCTGGTTGAAAGTATTCTTTAAGTTTTTGATTCTTTGTAGAAAATTAAAGGCAGTATGAAACCGATATCTTGTCAGAGTTTGCTGTTGTATTATTTAAATTACAACTTAGGTTAATTAACTTGCACAGATATATAAAAAAGCCTCATATCCCATAATGTGATGAAATACGGTGTTTGTGGTTATTGCTATTAAAATTAGTCCTCTCTCTCATTATGACAAATATAATCCCTTTTAGGCAGTTGTTTCTTACATGAAATAATTCCAGTTTGATCTATAATACCTTATCTAGGAATACAAAATACCTTGCATGTAAGGACTTCTTAGGTGTAGGATGACCTTTCATTTATGTAGGAATGATGCTAGAGATCCCATGATTGGGCACAGTGGTGAATTCTGGTGATAGATACCTAGTCTGTAGGTATACCTAGTAAATACCTTTATTTACTGTTGGGCAAAGTAATGGAGAAAGGATCTGGTAGGCCCTGTATACTGCAGATATTGACATGACTCCGAGAAGTGACGGTTCCCAGTACACCACCATGTTCTTCTATCTTGAGCAGTGCATGACATAAAATTAGCTAATTAAGCCACTTATATTCTGAAAATGTAGGTTTATATTGCTGTGACAGAGCGGAAGATCATGCTTGCCAAAATGCCTGCAAGAGAATTCTGATGTCTAAGAAAACAGAGATGGAGATTGTTGATGGCCTCATCGAGGGTTGTAAGACGCAGCCCTTGCCTCAGGATCCTCTTTGGCAGTGTTTTCTTGAAAGCTCACAGTCTGTTCATCCTGGAGTCACTCTACACCCTCCTCCCTCTACAGGCCTTGATGGGGCTAAATTGCATTGTTGTTCTAAAGCAAACACTTCAACATGTAGGTCAGTATCTTATTTTCTTTTATTAAAACCAGTAGAAAGTAGCATTTTAATTAATGATTTAAAGTTTAACCTATGTTATATTTCTGCATTGTGTAGACTTGAGTTTAGAAAATATAAAATCTTTCATTCTTTCATCCGACAAATATTTATTGAGCATCATGTATACAGTAGTTCCTCCACCACCCTCTCGTTCACGGTTTCGCTTTCTGTGGTTTCACTTACTCTGGGTCAACCATGATCCGAAAATATTACAAATATGTACAGATACTATAATTAAATGTTAAATTTAGCATTGAGCTTTCTAGCAACCATGGCAAAAAGGAAAGAGGGGGATGATAAACGAAGGCTAAGTTTTTCATAGAAAAGATAACTTTTCCTGGCTCTGAATTCTAGGAGATAGATTTTAAGTCTTTTGGTTTTTGTACTTTTTTTCTCACATATATTCTAAAGTATGGTTCAGGGTTAGAATTTTATGCAAATCAAATATTTATTCATTTGGCTCATCTATGTGTTTCTGCATTTGTATTTTTGTTTCAGGGAACTGTGCACTAAACTTTATAGCATGAGCTGGGGCAATACACAGAGTTGGCAAGAGTTCGATCGCTTTTGTGAATATAATCCAGTGGAAGTGTCCATGTTGACCTGTTTAGCAGATGTTCGGGAACCTTGCCAGTTAGGCTGCAGAAATCTTACTTACTGTACTAATTTTAACAACAGGTAGGAGCAAATTATTATACGTGGAATGGAAATATATCATTGATTATCTTGTTTTTAAATAAGTGAAAAGACCACTATCCTCTGATTTTGTTTTTGCTAAGTTAAAAGGAAATAGTCTTTTGTTATGATTTTATCTTTAAATGCCATATTCCATCTGAGAAGGGAAGCACTATAACAAAGTTCCTTCTAATCTAGGGATACATCAAGCTTCTTGGATTCAAAGAGTCTTCTTTACCTTCAGTCCACCGTTCTTCCCCTCTCCCTTTTCCTATCCCACCAGTGCAAACAGTTCATTGCAGAATAAATCACTGTGAACAGTTTGGTCATCCAGATGCCCTCTTATGGGCAGTTTACTTTGAAGGACGTTCAGACTGGGTGAGCTTCCCACTCAGTGAGTCACCTGTGTGATACAAATATATTTTCTTTACAGAAGCAATTCGAATAGGCATTTTCCTGAAGTATCAAGTATGGTAAGAAAAACAAGGGCCAAGAACTGAAGGAGAAGTGAAGAAAACACAAAAAGTGCATCCAGAAGTATAGAGAATGCCGTATCAGAGAAACCATATAGGAAGAGTCTCTAAAGAAGAGGAGGCTGGTTTTGTGAGCTGCGGCCAGAGATCAGGAGCACAAAAAGGAAGAGAATCATTTAGTTGGGACAGAAGGAAGTTCAGAAGATGTTTACCTCAAGCTAACACACATATTATCCTCTTAAGAGTATTCAGATTATTATTTTGAGTAAGAAAATTAAGGTATCTTTTAAACTGCTGATAGAGTGTTAGCCAATGAGGATGTGGCTTAGAGATTTGAGCAAATTTGAAATCTATGAAATATTTAAAGTTAAGCTTGGACACATAGTTCTAGCTTCTGGTAATGGTGGAGTAGATTGTAATAGACTAACACTCCTGACAATACCAATGACGAACTCTGCATAAAATATAAAAAAAGATTGTTCTGGAGGCATTGGAAAGTGACCAAAGAACCACATTTATCCAGTTTTTCCTTCGTGGACACGCTCAGTTTCCTTGCATGGCATATAGAGTTCAAGCAAAAAGCAGCAGTCTTGGGCTGAGAAGTTAGAGATCAGAGGTTGGGGCTGCCAGAGTGGCTGGATATGGAAGCAGAAAATCTCAGAAAGGAGAGAACCACAAAAGGAGATCCCCCAACATCTGCATACAAACTCGCCTTAAACTCTTGACTTTAACAAGGCCATAGGATACAAAGTTAAGATATAAAAGCCAATTGTATTTCTATATATTAGCAACACATAATTGGAAAATGAAATGTATTTAAAAATATTAATTTACGTGATTGCATCAAAAAACATGAAATACTTAGGGTTAAATTTAACAAAAGATGTGTAGGAACTCTATACTAAAACCCAGAAAACTCTACAGTGAGAAATTAAAGACAGCAAATAAAATGGAGAGAGAGACCATGTTCATAGATTAGAAGACTTAATATTGTTAAGATGTTAATTCTCCCAAAACTGATCTCCAGATTCAGTGCAATCCCAATGGGCTTTTAAAAATAGAAATTGCCAGGCTAATTCTAAAATTCATATGAAAATACGAAGGACCTAGAAAGTTAAAACACTTTTTTTTAAAGAACACATTTGGAGAACTAACTTATAGTACCTGATTTCAAGAGTTATTATAAAGCAACAGAAGTGAAACGATGTAATATTGGCATAAGTTTGTACAAATAGATCAAGAGAACAAAATAGGCAAGAATAGACCCATACAGAGTAAACTGGTTTTCATCAAAGGCAGCAAGGCATTTCAATGCAAAAAGAAACATCTTTTCAACAAGTGATTTTGGAACAATTGAATATCTTATGGGGGGAAAAAGAACCTCAACCTCTGTCTCACACCATACACAAAAATTAATTCAAGATAGGTCATAGAACTAAACATGAAAACTAAAACTACAATGCTTCTGGAAGAAAACGGGAAAATATCTTAACCTTGGTATAGGCAAAGATTTTGTAGACAGGAGGCAAAAAGCACTAATAAAAGAAAAAAATTAATGAATTGGAGTTTAACAGTAAACACTTCATTCACCAAAAGGCACCATTTAAAATTTGAAAAGGCAAGCCACAGTCTGAGAGAAAATATTGAGTATGCACATGTGTACACACACATAACACATGTACATTTGACAAAGGACTGGTATCCAGAATATATGTCACTCTACAACCTCATAATAAAAAAGTCAAACAACCAAATTAAAAAACAGGCAAAAAACATTCAAGGACCCTTTGCCAAAGAAGACACCAAGATAGCAATTTAAGTATATGATAAAGTCCGTTATCATTAGTCACGCAAAAAATGCAAATTAAACCTTAATGAGATGCATCCTCACACCCACTCTAGAATGGCTAAAATTAAAAGACTGACAAGCATGTGAAGCAAGTGGATTCCTCATACTTTGCTGCTGGTAGTAAAACAATGTTCCCCAACCTATTTGGCACCAGTGACCGGTGCTCCTATGAGAATCTAATGCTTGATGACCTGAGGTGGAGCTGAGGCAGTGATGTTAGCGCTGGGGAGCAGCTGCAGATACAGATGAAGCTTCACTCACTCACTGGCTGCTCACTTCCTGCTGTGCGGCCCGGTTCCTAACAGGCTGCTGAGAGGTACTGATCTGTAGCCCTGGGGGTTGGGGACCCCTGGAGTAAAAGATGGTTTAAACACTTTGGAGAGTTTTCTTGCGCTGTTTTAAAAAGTTAAGTCTATGACCTAGCAATTCTATTTTGAAGCATTTACCAAAGAGACATGAAAACATATGACCAAAAGACTTCTATTTTAGCCTTATTCATAAGAACCCAAAATTGGAGGAAAAACAAAACATCCATCAAGAGGAAATGAAAGAACTTATTGCAGTATATAAAACAGTGGAATAGTACACAGCAAGAAGAAAAGGCATGAAAATGTGTTCAACATGATTAGTCCAGCAAAATACAAATTAAAACCAGTAAAATACCACTATACACTAAAAGAATGGCTGCGAGTAAAAAGGCCAAACATGAAATGCAACAGGCTTCGATGCACTTCCGATGAGAGTGTAAAATGGTATAACCACTTCAGAAAACAGTTTGGTGATTTCTTAGAAAGTTATGACCCAACAATGCCATTCATAGCCATCAAAAGAGACATGAAAACCGGAACAACCTTAATGTCTATAAACAGGTGAATGAATAAATCAGTGTTTCTTAAAGTGTGGTCCATGGTCTCCCAAACCCCATGAGATCAAAACCGTTATGATAATACTAAATTTTATTTGCTTTTTTCACTGTTATTCTCATGAAAGTGAACAGTAGAGATTTCCAGATGCTATATGATATGTGATACAGCAACAGGAACAGATATGAAAATTCAGCTATCTCCTATTAAGCCAGACATTAAAGAGATTTTCAAAACTGTAAACCAGTCCTACCCTTCTCGCTAATTTTTGTTTTGTTTTAAATGTAGTTATTCATAAAAATATATTAACACGTAATGGGTTTATTATTTAAAATGAATTAATAACTACTTTAAAAATCTTAGTTTTGATTAATAATGTGATAGATACTGGTGGATATTACCCAGATAAACAAAAGCTTTTTGAGAACCCGATAATTTTAAGAGTGCAGGTGGGTCCTGATATCAAAAAGTTTGAGAATCTAGGATAAACAAGTTGTGGTACGTTTATTAATGGAATACTACTTAACAGTAAAAGGAACGAACAATTTATATACACAATAGCATGGACAAATCTCAAAAAGATTATTTAGCTAAAGACGCTAGACCCAAAAGAATACATACAATATCGAATCTACTTATAGGAAGTCTAGAACAGGCAAAATTAATCTGTGAATACAAATGGTGGTGGCCTCTGGGTGCAGTCAGCAGGGAAGGCATCAACTGGACAGGATACAAGGAAACTTTCTGATGTGATGGAAATCCTTATGTTGATTTGCATATTGTTATATGGATGTACACATTTGTCAGATCACATAAAACTACCCATAAAATGTATGCATTTTATAAATTATACCTCAGTTTTAAAAACTTGGGCTTTTTATTTTGTGAAATGAGAAAAATGGACACATAGAGATGGTAGTCCTGTCCACAGCATTTTAAAGTTTTTAACTCTCACGAAAATCGATTTTAAAAAGAACATGCCATCAGAATCTTAATGATAGCATCTACATTAAATCTTCATACATTCAGTATTAATATCCTTTTATGGGTTGTGTGTACTTTCTTCTTTAAGAAAATCAGATTTTCCTGATCATTAGTATGTCAAGATTTTGCATATTGCTCTTCTCTAGAAAATAATGACCTCTTGATTCCTTCGGGCCTTTCTTCTCTTCAGGCCAACAGAACTTTTCAGGAGTTGTAATGCCCAGTCAGACCAAGGAGCCATGAACGACATGAAGCTATGGGAAAAAGGAAGCATAAAGATGCCATTCATCAACATACCTGTTCTTGACATTAAAAAGTGCCAGCCAGAAATGTGGAAAGCAATAGCTTGTGCACTACAGATTAAACCTTGTCATAGTAAATCCCGGGGAAGTGTCATTTGCAAGTAAGTTTCATCATAATGACTCCGGTTTTGGTTCAGACCCTCTGTGATCTTCACCCATAGCCTATCATTAAAGTTTTCCACGATTTCTCTTTGCTCATCACCTTCACAAGTCAAATGCTTTCCCACTTTTTCCTCATCTGCTGAAAATACTCTTTCCTCATCTCCATTTGGCCATTGCCACTCCTTCTTTGTCCCCCTCAAATACCAGTCATGCCTATGAAATCTTCCCATATTTCTCCTGACGATAATTTATCCTTACTACAAATCTCTATAGACCTTTATTTGTACTTCTTTTAGGGTACTTAGTTCAAGAAACATTTGAATACCTTCAACGCACAATTCTATTTTTATATTTTAATTTGTGTACTTGTCTTATATTCTGTTAGACTTTGCTCTCCTTGAGGAGTTTATTTATTTATTTTTTTGTCTCTATTTTTGTTCTCCTATCCTCTTTCCTTTTTTTCTCCTCTTCAGGGATTAACATAATCCTGACATGCCGTAGGTATTCCATAAATGTTTGATGAGTGAAGGAGTTAATGAATATAGTCATTAAGGCCTGCTCCTAGTAAACATTTTGTGAATGGTTTGCTTAGGAGATCTAGGATAAAGTAAAGATGAAAGCTGTTATGGTGGGTGAAACCAAAAGCATTAACTACATAGTAATCTATGTCAGCTGCTCTTCAAGCATCTTTTTTTCCAAAAAGCTGTTTTAAAATCAATATTCATCCGCTAAGTTGTTGGTGTGTGGCTCGGTGCTACTGAACACTTGATGCTTGATTGCAGATTACTTCAGCCTTAAACAGGGTCCATATCTATTCTCTGACATGACTTGGAGATGACCTTAGTAGGGAAGAGATGAGGGGTAACTATTGGATGACAAGCAAGAGGTAAAAAAGCAGAAATTTACAGACTCGGCATGGAAAACTTATGAGTCAAATTCCTATTAAGACTGAGAAAATTTTAAAGTAGTGGACTTTCTAATAGAGGCCAAATACCTTAATGTTGATAACTAAAAAGATATTGTAAAAGAGAAAGGAAGGGAGGGAGGAAGGAAGGGAAGGAGAGAGGGGGGAAGGGGAGAACAAAGGAAGGAGCAAGCATGCATGACGTCCTGAGAGAAAGGATGTAGGATTTTGCAAAGAGTAAATCAGACTAGCCTAGGTTAATTTCCTTTCAAAGAGTGAAATGCCACATGGATGGCAGTAACGGTAAGTATGTGTATAAAATTTGAATAAGGCCTCAGGTAAGAGAAAGAGGGATGGATGCTTTGATAGTGTAGTACATTACTTACTATTCAACCCAAAGTCTGCTCTGACTCCTGTTCTCTTTTGCCATACTTATACCGAACCAACTGTGAAACATTCTTAAGTTATTAAAACTCACTTTCTGGAAAGTTTCAGAGACAATTGATATTGACTAGACAATATGAGGAGGTTCCTCAAACCTTAAATTTGTATGTATTTTCCTTTTCAAGATCAGATTGTGTGGAGATTCTCAAGAGATGTGGGGACCAGAACAAGTTCCCTGAAGACCACACAGCAGAAAGTATTTGTGAGCTTCTATCACCTACAGATGACCTGGAGAATTGTATACCTTTGGATACATACCTCAGTAAGTACTTTGTGTTTCTAAATTTCAAGCACTTCTGCCCTTGATGTTTGCTTTGGCTGAGCATTTGGCTGAGAACATGTGCTTTAATGATACTATCTCAATTGCAGACTTTTATCTTACTTGCTTGTCCCTTTGTCCCAAGAAAGAATTGTCATCTTAAAATATGTAAGCAGAAGCAATTATATCGGTCTGAGAAGGTAGTGAACTGTTGTCAATCAGGAATTCTAAGCAGTGAATCAGCAGCCAGCATTCTCAACCATCTCCATCCTTGCTGTTTCCTTGCCATGATTTGACCAGGAAGTAGAATTTCTACCTGAGAGTCTTCAACTTTTTGTCATCAGATATTCAATGGGTCTGAGCCAGGCATTAGCTTGAACTTACCCACCAAAGAGGTAGTAAGGAATGATGGTCTGTGATGGAATGGAAGTTTTCTCTCTGCCAAATACTTCTGCCAAGAGCTAGAAGAATAAGTTGGTATCCACTTGAGGAGTCCTAGATCTGAGCTTCCTGGCAGGAGGTGGCTGTATGTGGTTTAAACCAGGAGATTACCAGTATAGCAAAGGTAGAACTCATGCACACCAAGTAGTTAGGGTAAGGGGAGTGTTTAAACTGCCGCCAGGCAGCAGTAGTGCTGTGAACTGGCTGAAAGGCAGTGAATTTCGCTCCTACTTTGTTTTTCTGTGTCAGATAGGATGAAGTTCCACTGCGAATAATAGACCAACAGATAGAATTAAAAGAAAGCCTGGAAATAAAGAGTCCAGGGCTTTTATGGTGGCTCCATCATCAAGAATCCAGGCTTCTTTTTCTTTCTCCGTCATCCTTAGTGCTTGGCTTCCATTGTCAAAATTACTTCATATACTTCATCATCACAACATGGCTACTGGAATTCTAGCCATCATATCCTAGTGTAAGGGAGAACCACCCCTAATTATAAGGGAAACTGGGAAAGATTATCTTTTTAGCTGTGGGCCCATTGCCATCCTAAGTAAAATTAGAGTTCTAGTGGTAAGGAGGAAAATAAGATTAAAAGCTAGATTTGCAGCTAGTAATAGCTACCATATTTTCTCAAGACTAGCAAACTATGTCCATTAGTCTTTGTGACCAGTATAGCAAAAAAGAGAGCATTAGACTAGAATCATAGGCTTTGAGCAGATCATGTCTTTGAGCCTCAGCTTCCCTATTTATAAAATGATTAGGCTTGATGAGATAAACTCCAAGAGTCCTTATACATCTATTAGCCTTAGAGTCTGATTCTGGCCTAAAATCAAGTAAGCAAAATGAATATATTTACAATCCCAGACTCTATTAGAGTAGTCAAATATATATGTGTAGAAGGAAACTATTTCGGTGGGAGGAAACTTAAATGCTTTTGTTTGAAATTCAATACTTTCTTTAAATATCACATATACTTTACATTGAGACTCATCTTTGGTCATTGTTTCACAAGTTAACAAATATAATCATGATATGGGTTCCATCTTACCATAATAAATTATCATTTATGGTAAAATGTGCTAAATTATCCCTCTTGGACATAAGAATCTATTTTACCACCCTATCCAAAATATACCTGCCACTTTCCATCCCCTTACACTACTTATTACTTATCGCTACCTGACATTTTATTTACACACATACACACACAGTCTATTTATTATCTGTTACTCAACCCGAATATAAACTCTGTATTAGAGATTTGTCTGTTTTAATCACTGCTGTATCTCCAGTACCTAGAGCCTTGTCAGGCATATTGTAGGCATCCAATATATAAATAAATGAATGAATGGATGTTTGTGCTAATTCACAAATGATCAGACAATCTGAGTGTTTAATAGCTTACTACAATCAGGTCTCACTTTTTGTTCATCCAGACATAATTCAGATAATTTACAGACTTCTGTTATTCTTTTAGGTTGGCTAAGCTGATCTGCTTTTGGTTTTTCAGGGCCAAGTACTTTAGGTAACATTGTAGAAGAGGTGACTCATCCTTGTAACCCTAATCCTTGCCCCGCTAATGAGCTCTGTGAGGTCAACAGGAAAGGCTGTCCTTCTGGAGATCCCTGCCTTCCATACTCTTGTGTTCAAGGTAAGAGAGGTAGGTGGGTGCAGGTGTGGGATGAGTATGGATGTGCCGCTGGTGTTTCTTTATAGGAATTATCTTTGGAATGAGATTACAAGGGACTTTATTTTCTCAATTATATTTTTCTATAATGTTTCAGGTTTTCCCAATAAACATGTATTATTTATGTAAGCAGAAAATGAGAAAGACAAATGTAAATTTCAATAGTCATTTAGATTATAAACTAATATTAATCCAAAACCAAACCCTCATAATGAGTTATAGGGTTATTGACAACAAAAGAAAAAACAAACTTTGGGCCAGCTTTTTGTACTTTGTCTTTCATATTGTAATGTTTGAGAATATGTACTGCATGTTTTTCGTGTTTTTTCTTTTTTTTAGCATATGGAGAATTGGCATTCTCAGTGGACTGTGTAATTATCTCCATAAATTTAAAGTTATTTCCCAATTGAACATGTTTCTTTATTATGTTAGAATCAACATTTTTTAAGGTGTGAAATAAAAGGAAAGTATTAAATAAGCATGATGTCTCAAAGGATCATCTATAATATTTTTGTAATACCATAATATATCAACTATAGAGTCATAAGAAATCTTGTTAAAATTAGAAAGTAATGAGTTTTCCTTAAGCCCAATCAAGTATTCAACTTTTTTAAAAATTTAAGGTATGTTTATATTCCATCAATAAAAGTTTTCTGATCAAGATTATTCTAAAAACTGTCTGATTTTATACTCTATTTTTAAAGTATCTGTGATTTTTAAATCTCTTTGATAAGCTCCCCCAAATAAAAAACTACATATCTTATAACATTTTTGTACAGAACTATAGCTAACTTTGGGATATAGGTCCTTAATCACCACCATCTCACAGAACATGGAATTTTCATCTGAGAGACTATGTTTTTGACCAGTGAACCAAAACAATTCCTTAGTTTCATGAAAGTTCTCTTACATAATCGTTAGTAGCTGCACAGTACCTATAAGACTTACGCGAAGTGTATCTAATGCGTAAAATAGTATCATAGACCAATACCCACTGTCTCAGCTAATTTTTGTTTGTATAGGTTGCAAATTGGGAGAAGCCTCTGATTTCATTGTCCGTCAAGGGACATTAATCCAGGTGCCATCATCTGCAGGAGAAGTTGGTTGTTATAAAATTTGCTCATGTGGACATAGTGGACTTTTAGAAAACTGCATGGAGATGCACTGTATAGACCTTCAGAAGTCTTGTATTGTTGGAGGAAAAAGAAAAAGTAAGTCTTAAACTGTATTTATTTGTTTCTTGTTTTTAATATGGGATTAGTTATTTTAACTTTGTAGGAAGAACATTGAATGGATTCTCACCAGAGGGTAAGTCTACAAATCTGATACTTCAGGGCAGTATTTTTCAAACTATATTCTACAAGGCACTAGGACTTCTAAGGAACTCTCTTATAAGCCTCCTCAAGAATGGACTACTAGCTAATAATAATTAACACTTATTGAACTCTTAACTGTATACCAAGCACTATGCTAAGTTTTATATGTGAGATCTTATTTGAAAGAAGAGTGCTCTTGGCCAAAAACGTGCTTGCACATTCTACTTAGCTAAAATGAATGGTGGGTACCTTGTATCTTTGAGAATAAACAAATTCATTCCTTCTAGAAACTTTCACTAATGAATGCCTATTCTATACATAAGAACATACTGAGATGAAGGATTAAGGTCGTGCTTTCCATGATAAAATGGAAGAGAATTTGAGCCCCAAAAAGGAACAGGCGAAGTGCTTTTCGGGGAGCTAGTCATTACTGCCAGGGCATTGGAAGAGTCTGTGATCCAAAGGTGGCATTGGTATTGGTCCTGGAGAGAGGAGCGGAGTTCCAGGAGGAAAGGAGCATTTGAGGCAGAAGAGCAGCCAGAAGCATCCTCAGAGAATAGCAGTCTGGTGAGACCAGCACATTAGGGATTTGGAGGGATATGGTGGAATGTAAATACAGAAATATAAATATTACAGATTTAACTCCCTTGTTTGTATGTTCAGAAGTTATTTTTCAAGAATTTCTATTTTTAAACTTTTTAAACTATTACATTTAAAATTTGTGATCTATTTATAAATGCATGATATGGAACAACGTTTTATTTCTCTCAGGTCATGGAACATCCTTTAATATTGACTGCAATGTCTGTTCTTGTTTTGCTGGCAATTTGGTGTGTTCTACCCGCCTGTGCCTCAGTGAGCACAGTTCAGAAGATGACCGTCGCACCTTCACAGGTAACCGTGGTCACCCAGAAGCTATCCTCATCCCTTGTGCCCATTTTCCCTTCAAGGCAGCTTCTCTTGTCCTGCCTTCATTGCAGATGTACACAGTAAAGTAACTACATAACCTGTATTTATAAAAGCAAGATACCCTCTCTAGATCTGTTTCCTTCTCTACAAATTGAAAGCATTAAATGAAATGATTTCTTAGGGCCCTTCCAGTACTAATATTATGTAATTCCATGTGAAAAGAACAGGACCAGTGACTGGGATGGTTTTAGTTAAATGGAATTTTCCTACCTGCTAACGTACCCCATTTACCCCTACCATTATGGTCTAAAATACCCATGTATTTTCTGAGTTTATTTTTGTTCTAATGGTTGTCTTACCACTTTCTTCCTTGTCCTACCTTAACCTACTGGTTTATATAGGTAGAGACCCCTATAAATAAAGTTATAGGTAGGAAAAGTAAAGAATGTTTCTCTCAATATGATGTATAAAATCGGAAATTTAGATGTTTAAAGTCTGGCTTGGGGACGGATTTCTGGAGAGTCAAGGGATAATATCAAAAACAAGACAGAGAGCGGAGGTCGTAAACTCCTCACATGGGCTTCTTCCCCTCTCGCCTCCTTAGGGATTTCTCCAAGACGGTAACTTGAGAAATTATTGTAATTTTGAGACTTAAGCATTTTTCTGAACAGTCAGTCAAGAATACTAATTTCTTGTCTTCCCTGTTTTCCGCTGCTGGAATTATGCTCACTCCAGTTACAGTAAGTGAGAAGTCTGGTGAGGTGGGATGCTCTTTTCTTAAGAAGAAACTGCAGTTGTCAATGGCAGCAGTGTAGTCTACTGGTATCTATCAGTCTCTGCTTTTTCCCAGATCTGAAATACCTTTAGTCTGGGTAAAGAGGAACCAGATAGCTGCCCTTACCCTATTTCATGCTGCTGTAGCAGCAACTTGATTCTTCTTCCCTTGGAGTTAGTATTACACATGGAGTGGGGTGAGAGAGAACAGAATAGGGATTTAGCAACCTCGTGTCTCCAGACCATTGAAAATACAAAAGGAGACCAGAAATAAGTGCACAGCAGACTGATGGAGAAGTAAAGGCAGGACCAACTCCACCTCATCCTGTATCCACCTAATGAGCACCAGCCTTCACTGCTTGGTTGTTGTTGTCCTTTATTGTTATCCTTTATCTGCTCTGCTCTGATGAGGACGGTTCATTCTGCTAATTTCTATGGGGATGAAGAGTGAACTAAAGATTTACCTGAATACTTTTATTTATTTATTTACATCTAAGTGATTTTGAAAGATGAACCTTACAACTAGCAGAACCCTTTTCCCTGTAGTGTGCAGCCCCTCGTTTCTTGGGATAAATTAAGCTAATGACTGTTTAGCTAGCAGACTCTAAGGAGATTTTCCTGGCTGCAAAGTTTACCACATTTCTTGGGACTCAGGTGGTTTCCCAGTACAAACATGACTCAGAGAGAGAGACGTTCATAAAAATTCTTGAATCTCAAAACTACAGTAATTTCCCAAGTTACTTCTTTTTCTTCCTCTTCTCTAAGGAGATGGAAGGAACCTATATGAGAAGTTTACAACCTCCACTCTTTGTCCTGTTTTTGGTGTTCATTTTTCAGTCCATATTCTACTTAGCTAAAATGTAAGGTAGGTGTATTCCAGAAATCTTCCAAGACAGACTTCAAACTTCTAAATTCTAGACTATATACACCAGATTGAGAGAAACAGTCTTTACTTTTCCTACCAATAGCTTTTTTTATAGGCATCAAGGTCTGGAAGCCCTCAATTATCTGGCAATAAATGGAACAAAGGAAACCGTTATGCAGATAAATGGTTTTTCAGAGGCCTCCTTGCCTTTACAAACAGTCATAGATTGGAGGAATGGTCTTTTAAAAATTCTTTTTTAACATGAGACCCCATGTAATCGTTAATGGTTTGCCTTAATAAGGAAATATGAGGGAAAGGGGCATGTGCAAGTACACATTGTTGAGGCTCTTTCATTTCTTCAGGTCTGCCCTGTAACTGTGCAGATCAGTTTGTCCCCGTGTGTGGGCAGAATGGACGCACTTATCCCAGTGCTTGCATTGCTCGCTGTGTGGGCCTCCAAGACCATCAGTTTGAGTTTGGATCGTGCATCTCAAAGGATCCGTGTAATTCTAACCCCTGCTCAAAAAACCAAAGGTAAGTCAAATGGCTCCTTATCTTTTTCAACTGAAGATGAGCCCTTACTAAGCATCTCCTGTGTACCAGACAGTGAAATGAATTAAAAAGGTCTCTGCCCTGAAGAGTTTGGAGTCTAGCAGGGAAAAGCCATGTAAAGCTGCCTGGAATGTACTGTGATTGGGGTCCTGGAGTAGAACAGTTGATGCAGCCTGAGGAAGGCCTGGGAAAATAGAGGATGTGCTATTCAGCTGCAAAAATGAATAGGAGATTGCAAGCAAGGTTTGCAATGGAGGTGTTGGTAAAGGCTGAGAGAGTCCCAGGAGAAAAGATCTTGGCTGCCGGAAATGAGGGGATAGCATGGAACCATGCCGGGAGCTACACCAGTTTTGTGAGACTGAAACAAAGTATGGGCAAAGTAGGGGCAAAGAGGGGTAGACGAGACCACAGAAACGGATATGTTCTTATTATTAGCTATTTATGCGTGATAGTAATGAGAAATTTTCTTCTGTTTGTCTGCTTCCATTTTAGAGATCGGACATGAGAAATCTTGGGAAAATGCAGCTTCAGTATCATTTGAAATTATTTGTTTAGGGGTTCCTTTCTCTGGAGTTTCCTCATGAGCTCAGGGTACAGTTGACCTACCCTTACTGGGGGATTTCTGCATGTGGTAGCTGCAGGTCAGGTGTCATGCCGACTCTCTTAGGCAGACAGCCTTCTTTTTTCCGCTGCCTGCCTCAAAGACCTGAGCAGGACACATCCAGTGCCATAGTCCTTTCCTTAGGAAGGATTTTGTGGAAAATAAGCAGTTGCCTCTCCATCCTTAAAATCTTGGTGCAATATAGAGGGATAGGTAGATTTTTCTCATGTGTTAAAAAAAAAAATTAGTCTCCCATCTGGCAAAGTTTATGCCATGAAAGCTAAGCCCCAAAATTTCCTATGGAAAGAAGACAGGGTGATGTGCATAAGAAAAAGGGATAAAGAAATAAGCCAAAAGGATAATAGAGTTGTGTTGGGAGATAGAATTGAGGCTTGTTTTGGTATTTGCTTGTTCGTTTTCCTCCATTTGCTAACCCTTCTGAATAAGGTTTGCTTTTATAAGAAAAAACTAAAATCTCAGAGTCCTTTCTGGGTATAATACAAAACCAACCAAAAGAAAAGATTGAAAAGTATAGCTACATGAAAATGAAAATTTTCTGCACGGTAACAGACAAATGACAAACTGAGAAGAAAATTACAGAGAAAGGCTAATGTCCTTATAAAGAGCCCCTACAAATCAATGTGAAAAAGATCAACAACCTCATATAAAAATATGCAAAGATCAATAACCTAATAGAAAAATGGACCAGGACATAAACATAGAAAAAGAAATACAAATGGTTCTTAAACATTTGAAAAGATGCTTTTATTAGTCAGGGTGAGTAACTCTAGTTACTGTATACAAACTCAGAAATAGCAGTACTTTAACATAACGGTTCCAATATGGACCCAGGTGGCTTTCCACATGGTGATTTAGAGACAGGACCCTGTCATCTAGTGACTCTGCCAGCTCCCATAGACTCCTCGTCCTCTGTATCTTCTGCATCTGGCCAGCAGATAAGCTTTTATGGGCCAGGTTTAAAAGTGGCATTCATCTCTGCTTCCAGCCACATTCCATTGTCTAGAACATAGTCACTTGGCCACAACTAACTGCCAGGAGGACTAGGGTGTGCCCTGGAAGAAAATTAAATGAATTTGATGAACCTCTCACTAATCTACCACAGTGCTTAACCTTCCTCATATTAAGTGACATGTAAGTTAAAACTACAAATATGTACCATTTTCCATCTACTGGACTGGCAAAGATAAAAAGTTTAATAACATAATGTGGGGAAACAAGCACTCTTATATAAGAGGGAGTTGGAGGATTGGTGTATCCTCAATGGAGGGCGATTTGGCCAAGTCTAACAAAATTTTAAATGTACATGCTCTTTGAATCAACATATGTAAATGTTTATACTTACATAAAATATCTCTGGAAGAATAAACAAGAAATTGGTAATAGTGGTTGTGGCTGGGGAAGGAAACTCAGTGGCTGGGACACGAGAATAAGAGACTTATTTTTCACTATATATCATTTTGAATTTTTTTAATTTCACCATAGGTTTATATTATCTAAAAATAATTGTTTAAAAAATAAAAAATTGTATTCATGCATCAAGTATGTACTTACATACCAGGCAACTTTCTAAACACTAGGACACAACAGTAAGCGTGACAAAGTCCCCACCCTGATCATGTTTACTTTAATTGACGCCCCAGATTCTCAACCTTTCCTATTGATCCTCTTATTTCTTTATATTCAAATTGATAAAGTTTGTCTTTCTAAAATTATCAAGTTTCTCCTGATATTCTTGGTTCTCATCCCTCCTGTGTTAATAGATAATGAGGTTATAAATATCCTTTTCTATTATTTCTCTTCAAATATCTTAAATTTCCATACAGCCATAACTACATGCATTCTAATTTTAAATCCCATGAGAAAGGGGAATCGTGTAATAGTAGTGATGGTGGTGGTCATTTCAGAGCAGGAGGCTCATCCCTAAAAAGAGTAGAGCAATTTCCTTTGAAATGAAAATAATGTTAGTTACTATATTCTTTTTTTCATTTCCAGGCTAATATTTGTAGATCCTGCTATTTCAAAGACCCAGTGAAAGCTCAATATTTTAATAGGTCTTATTTTCCTATAGAAGTTATAAATATCATTTATAGAAATGAAAGAAGTAAAAAGTCTAAAGAATAAAAAAGCCATCATCCCTAACCCCTCTAAGGAAGTTCAGGAATTGAGAATGAATCAAGGTTCAGATATTACTAGGAAAACCGAGCTTCACGGAGTGGCATTCTCTCCGTGATTCGCAACCAGCGCATTACATGGCTCTCAGCCTTGTAAGCACAAAAATCTGAATTTTTCAGCACATGTGCGAGGCTTTCTTTTAAGAAAGACTCATACTAGCCAAGTAGAAAATTAAGGACCTGAAAACGCTTTATTTATTATTGACTACAAGGCTTTCAGCATTAACCCACTTGAGGGTCTCATATTGGGTCACTTCTACCCTGTGCATCCTTTGCTTCTTTTCCTGGTGTCACCTGCCCTTTCCTCCAGCACCACAGAGTCTTGAGCATCACACCTTTGCTCATGCTGCTCCGTCAGCCTGGCAGGCCTGTGTGGCTCTCCTGATCCTCCAGTTTCCAGCCAGGATAGTACCTTTGCCCAGTGCATTCTCCAGGCTCCTCAGTCAGAATAACTCATTCTCAGGAACTTTTATATGTAATTTTCTAGCTGATAGCCTACTTTCTATGCATGCTTGACCCTCCAGCTCTCCATAAGCTCTTGGGGACAGGGACTGTTTCTCAGTTTCTCTCTTGCTTTCTCTTCAACCTCCTGGGCCTTGTCAATGCTTTACCAGTCCCACCGTAGTCCCTCCCGACTCATGGTGCTACATTCGTGTTTTTCAGATGCATACCCAGACCACAAGTCTGCCTGACAACTTTTGATAAATTTGGATGTAGCCAATACGAGTGTTTGCCAAGACAGCTCACCTGTGATCTGGTCCGTGATCCTGTTTGTGACACAAACCACATGGAGCACAGCAATCTCTGTACTTTGTACCAGAGAGGGAAAAGCCTCTTATACAAAGGCCCATGCCAGGTACAGGTGGTTAGATGACAAACTGAAGTTCACAGAGCATAAAATTGGTTTATGGTCTTTTACAGATGAATCAGCAGTAAGATCACTTGAGAGTCTTTTGTGAACCCTATGAAATCTAGAGAACTTAGCCCTCTACTAAAAATGAACCATCCCAAGACTGGCTTTCTCCTAACTCTGAAGGACTTCCTTGCTAGTGTGTGTATCTTTGCACATCCAATGAAAAAGCAAGAAAAGAGAGTGACTTTTTACAGCCCACTCCTAAGAAAAGAACTTAAGGAAGAATGCAAGTTAAAACAACCAAGAAAAGAGTTCTTTTCCCATTCTTCCCACTGAAGTCCCTATTGTAGTACTGAAAAGTAATAAAAAATGTCTCAAAGACAATGTCTTTTTTACATCAGTTTATCTTTTGGTCTTTTAAGGTTGTGTAATTGCTAATCTTGTTTAAAAATAAACTCAAGGACAACCCCACTGAGGCTTCCCACATGCACCGCTGGTCTATGTGCTTGCCCCTTTCCTGGGAGAATCCCATCTTTGGGCCCAGCATCCTCTGCCCACAAGCAGCTAACACCTGACACAATTGCTTCTCCTTTCCTGGTCTTCATTGTTGAAAAATCCTTTCTTCAGCTTGTTTCCCTTAAACTTGTTTTCTCTCAGAGTTTGTATTCCAATTGCATTGATAACTTGCTACTCTGAATTCCCAGTCTTCTCTTCCTGCTTGTTCCCTCTTCCTGGCTATGGTTTTTCTCTCGCATATTCCTAGCCTACCTGATGGATCTAGAGTCTTCCTGCCCTCTCCCTCTCCACTCTTCCTTCTCCTTGCCCCTTACCCAGTGTGAAATGGTAGAGCCTCTATATGTGCATAAAGATTGATCTTGTTTTCTTCAAACAGGCACTTCTGGAATAATAGAAATCTGAGGGAGGGGGGATTTTATCTCATATTGCTTCACTTGGATGGAGCACCCAAGTCCCGAAGAGGCTGAGAAAAGTACTCTTCATTTCATCTTGGGACAGCCTGCTTGCCCCCCACCCCATGTTTAGCCTACCTCAGGAGCTTAATTAAGAGGGACCCAGAGTCTATACCTATGTCTTTTTTCCTTCCTGAAAATAGGGAGACCTACTGTGTACTCTTGGTTAGGAAAAGTACACCATAGAGGTTTCCAGGCTAACTGTGATTTATTTGCCCTCAGCCCTTCTGCAGAGCCTCAGAGCCCATCTGTGGACACAATGGGGAGACCTACAGTAGCGTGTGTGCTGCCTACTCAGATCGTGTGGCAGTCGATTACTACGGGCCCTGCCAGGCCGTCGGGGTCCTCTCGGAGTACAGTTCTGTCGCAGAGTGTGCTGCTGTGAAGTGTCCTTTGCTCTCAGCAGCTGAGTGCAAACCCATCATCCCACCTGGTAGGCTGGCAATATTTGGGGTGGGGCAGGGGTGGGATTGGGAAGACGTGCTTATCTGCCTCCAGAGAGTGAGTCACTGAGGAGAAAAGAGCTGACTAGTTTATTAAAAATTTTCAAAAAGTTTTAACTCTACCTGATGCTGATTAGATGCATTACTCTGGGTCGACCTTGAAAAGCCATGGGTTACCTTAGTATCATCTGGTCCAGTGGTTTTAAAACAGTATGACAAACTTTTTTCAAGCAAAATCTTACACCAAACACCAATGTATAAACCGTTAAAGCAGTATTTAATTACTAAAATTATGGTTATTAGTTCCATTGCACAATGTTTACTTTAAAAAGTAGATATTACCATAAAGTTAATTTATAAAGAATTAGTAATTAATGAATGAATAATTGAAATAGTTTTGATGAACACAAACATTTGAAATTGAGAGAAACAGAAAATAGGTGTCTTAGATTGGCCTTAGCATCTAATTGTTTTAGTTGCATATAATCACGAAAGTCTTGTTCTATACAGACTGTTACAAGCGATAACAGTTTTTTAAAACAGCTTACCTTACAGTCTAATACTGTTCAGTTAAACAGAGGTGGCAGAAGAGACTTTATCTCAAGTCTACACAGAACAGATTAGTCTGGATCTAACAAGTGTGTTCCTCATCCATAAATTCATCAAGTGTTTATTGAGCTTCCACTATATGCCAAATACTCTTCTGGGCACTGGGGATACAGCAGTGAGCAAAACAAAGCCACTTTCCTCCTGGAGACCATGATCTGATGTTTCGTTAACAGTTCAAAATAATTTGCAAAATTCAAGTAGAGTTAAACACTCATGAAATACCTGCTCCCTTGTTTTGCAGCCAGAAATCAAAGGCCCAGGAGATCATATGCCCCGGGTCACAGAATGGGTGTTGAAGCAGAGCAGGGTTTAGACCCACGTCTTTTGAAAGGCCAGATCTCTTTGTGTGGTCTTACACCACCACACCTCACCCTGAGAAGTGGTAAAGGATGAAAGCAGGGATGGAGGGAGGATTTGGTAAATGTATAAATTATAAGATCCAGGTTGGTCAGGGTACGATCTAAAGGGCAGTCATTAGGAAGGCCAGCTATAACTCTTAGCACAAAATGAAGGGTTGATAGTGTCACCAACTATTTTGTATTCTCCTTGTTTCTAATTCTGAAATTCTGAACTCATGTAAAATGGTTTCTCTTATACAGGTGCATGTTGCCCATTATGTGCTGGGATGTTAAGAGTTTTATATGACAAAGAAAAACTGGATACTATTGCAAAGGTAAATTGCTTTACACGCTGGGTACTGTTGAAACCTTATCGATAAACTTCTCAGTAATCCTACTGAGTGGAATGTGTTGTCCCCTTTACAGATGAAGAAACTAATTTGCAGGGAAGCAACTTGCTCAGGGCCGTCCGTATAGCTCATAACCAGTAGAACTAGGATTGGAATGGAGGCTGTCAGGCTCCCGATTCTGTGCTCCTTTCCTCCACACCCTGGCTGCGTGGTGACCTTGCTCTGCACATCACAGCCTGAACCTTTCTTAGTAAAGGTACCCTCCTGGCACAGTAAGCAGAGTTAGGACTAGAGGCAAAGCTAGGCAGCCAGAGACTGGTAGATGCCCAGATGGTTTCAGGGCATCTGCCCTCACACGGTCCCCCGACCTCCGGGGGCTGTTTCCAGAGCCAGTCACCATCCCTTGAGTGTTTTGCTCCTTTCCTTTTTCTGTACCGTCACTTTTGCTGTTTGCCGTTATGAAGACAGGGCTCCTGAAATGTTACAGCCTCTAGCTCAGAAATTATCCTCATTTTGATTAAAACACCTGTATTTTTACAGGAAGACTGATTATTTCCCTATGGCCTCCAATTCAGAACAGTCACTTTTAAACACTTCTGGTGAGAGTTTTTATCTTGGCTACAAAGCTCCATGGCAGCTGATTTAGAATTCAGCTGACAGGGCCCTATTGGGGCCCTGCTCTTAGGACTTCCTTGGCCCAAAGAGCCTCCTTGACTTAGGCAAGATAGCAAGGCAGCTTAGGCAGTAATAAGGAATTTTTTTTTTTTTTTTGATAATAGAATTATTGTTTCTCTTTCTAGGTAACAAACAAAAAGCCAATAACAGTTCTAGAAATACTTCAGAAAATTCGTACACATGTGTCTGTCCCACAGTGTGATGTATTTGGATATTTCAGCATTGAATCAGAAATTGTGATCCTGATCATTCCTGTCGATCATTATCCAAAAGCTTTGCAGGTGGGGTTCAGCGTACACTGTGCAGCTATCTTGTCAATTTCAAGTCTGGTGGACTTGGAAGGGGTGAGCACAAGCCAGGTTGGGTTAGGACTAGATGGTGAGGAAGAGAAGCATTTGAGCCGGGCAGAAGAGAGAAGAGTAAGACAGTCTCTGAGGGTCAGCGCTGCACCAGGTGAACCGAGGCCGGGTACGCATATGACAGCAAAATGCTAAGGAGTGGGAGAGGGAGAGGTTGAGAACTGTGGCTCAAAACCGTGCACAGATGGACGGCATCTGCTCATCATACAGACGAGGCAACTGAGGCCCAGGGAGACAGAGAGCGACACAGGTCACACAGTGACAAAGGAGAATAGACTCCTGACTTCTGAGGGCTAGCTACCATTGGGAAGGAGGAGCCCACTGGAGCTGGTCTTGCGGGCCCCAGTTTTTCTTCCTCGCAATACTGAGGTGAACCTCACTTGTGTAATCCCAAGTTTCAGCATCAAAATAATAGGGCTCAAGTTAAGGGGGTGATTACAAGCATCCTATAAATTGCCATCATTAGAAAGCTCATTAAGCCTAATTGCTTTCCTGAGGTGTGAATAGGCATTGAAAGTCCATTACCTATGGCTATGTTTAACCATGTAAAGATAATGTCTAAATGTGGATAAGTAATGAAAAGATTATGGAAAAAGAAAGGGCAGTGTCATTGTGGATTGTTTCTTTTCTGATTTGATTTCCATTGGTGCTGTTGTTATTTATGTAATAAGTTAAGACTATAATTAAATGTTACTTTGGCTAAGAAAAGGACAAAGAGAAAGCATATTCTCTATGTTGGGATATATGTGGAATTTGACCTTTTCACGGGTTCTGTGGTTTTATGTTAAAAGAATCTGATTTTCCTCTTCCAGATTGAGGCCTGCAATAAAGAAGCAGAGAAGATCGAATCCCTTATCAACTCGGACAGCCCTACTCTGGCGTCTCATGTCCCTCTCTCTGCCCTCATCATTTCCCAGGTTCAGGTTTCCAGCAGTGTGCCATCGGCCGGCACTGGGGCCAGACCTCCCTACCATTCTCGCCTCGTCCTCCTCAGCCTGGGCCTTGCCTTGCACATGGTCTGGACACGTAACTGACCACCCATGAAAAGTGCAAACTGTCCCTCAATCTAATTTTTCTTCCTTGCGAAAGACATGCAGGACTGCTGGTTCGTAATTGAATAGGGGCCAAGTAAAAGCACTTGTCACCTCACCACACAGTATTTTTTTAATCTGCTAATATTAGTAGGGTTTTTGTTTTGTTTTTACAAATGTTAAAATACGTTCTTCCAAATACTAATGAAAAGAGGATATTTCCTTCTGGAGGAGTCACTGCCTTGCAATTTCCCTTTTGCTCATTAGATGGTTCCCTCACTCAAACATATTCAATATCACCGATAAATGTGATGGTCACTTTTTAGAAAGATAACTCATTTTTACTATGGGCTTCGTATTACAGAAACTTCATTTCAGAGTTCCTAGAAGTATTAAGGGGCCCCTAGTGTGTGTGTTTGTTTACAGATAATTATACCTACTCTGTCTAGAAGTGATGGGTCACAGTGAAGAGCCACTGCCATTAGAATATGAAATAGAGATAAAGCATCTTTGGAATTATCATGTGGATCATCAGGCAAATTTAACTTAAAAGAAATTTAATTTAGGAACCCATCTAATGTATTAAGCAAAAGCAAGCTAACTGAGTGGCACTCTGATATACTGTGATGGTCTCAGTGGTTACAAACGTGTCTGTGACTTTTGTGAAAGGGAGAAGTTATATCACATCAAAACATCTTGCATTGTGCATCTTTATATTAACCAGATATATATTCGGTATTCATCCGAGTTAAAATCAACCTTTAAACCAATTGCTGCTACTGATATAATTGCCAAAAAGTGAAATAATTAGTAGTTCATGTAAATAATACATGATTTTTCTATTTTATTATGAAGAAGGTGAATAGCCATATTTGTAAAGTGACAATCATGTGTTTTAACCCAGTACTTTCCGTTCATGAAGATACATTTGCTTTTTGTGACATGCACATTGTAGATAAGTGTTCTGTCTGACTTTCTTTTCTGATACAGAATTATAAAGAGTATGGTTTATATATTTAAAAATGTCAATCTAAGTATTAAAATGTTTGCATGTTGTCTAAGAAATTGAATACTTTGAATGTGTTTTCACAGTTTGAAATAAGCTATTCAGTATAATACTTCTTGTTCGTATGCACCTAAACTTAGATTTTACATGAAGTATTTTTTTTTCAGTATTATATGTACCCTCTGAAATATATAAGAATATGCTTATTAAACCAAAATGTTGTTTAAAAGTGAGCACTTAAGCTTTCAGAATATCTCAATGTTGATGTAGCATGTTTGTTGCAATTCCTTTGTCTATATAAATGTCTTCAATGCAATATACTGGAAAGCTTTTCTATTTTAATAAAAATAATTTTTATATGGTTATGTGTACTTCCAGGCAATGTGGACATCTAAAATGAAACCACTGCTCATTCTTGGGTCCTGTGTCCTTTGCTCTGGAATAGGAAGTTACGGGAGTGCTATTATTCCAAGCCAAGGGCCCTGGGAAAGTGGGGCAGCTGGAACAGAGCTGGTCAGACCAGACCCAGGCATGACCAGAGGACAGGTGGTGGCAGATGCCAAGTACAAAGACCTCAGCTTTAGACCTTCAGGACCAAGAAAGCTTCGGGCCCTCCAAGACCCAGGAAGCCTTGGGCATGATATTCCAGCTCCAGGGGATCTCCTAGGGCAGTGACAACTTTGGACTGTGGAGACAGAGTGCCTGTTGATCAGAGCCTGAGAGGGTCTATCAGTTAGCCGAGATTAAGGCCCCAAAACCTCCATGGATGACGACAGCAGAGGCTCCCATCTTGCTCCCATCACATGTCCACTGTGGGGCAGCTGCACTTCTTTTCCGCATCATCTTCGCTCCAGGACTCATTCTGGCGTCCTCACAAAGGAGAAGGGAGAGACCCAGAGAACCACGACTGGCCCATATCACATGTCCACTGTGGGGCAGCTGCACTTCTTTTCCACATCATCTTCGCTCCAGGACCCATTCTGGCATCCTCACAAGGGGAAGGGAGAGACCCAGAGAACCACAGAACTGGCCCATAGGTCCCTGCTCAGAAGTGACACTGTCATTTCTTCCAATTCAACTTGTGCACCCAGCAACGCCCGACCCTCAGGCTAAGCACACACCCAGAGGCATTGTACCCATCAGCCACCAGAGCCTCATAACAACCAATGGGGTGCTTTGTGCGACCAATCTATTGAAAAAGGGGATTTTCCAAAGTGACTGAAAATAAAATAATTATTGTATCTAAAGCAAAAGTGGCAACAAAGAGCAGAGACTGTAACGGATGAGTGCAGAAAATTAAAATCAGTTAATGCAAAAAGGCCAACCTGCAGAAGACTCTGCTTGCCTCCTGGATGCCCCCCTCCACAGCCAGCTGTATCAGGGAGCTTCCCCAGGGCTCCAGGACAGAGGACGCAGGCTTAAGACTCGACTGTACTGATGGTCTCTCCTACATCATTTTTCTGTAGGCCAGGGACAGCAATGCATGTCACTCATGCCACCAAGTCTTCATTTTATGTCCATAGTAAAGAGATCACAGCTCTGTCCTCATGGTCGCCTGGAGGCTGTCTCAGCTCCAAGCTGAGCTTCAAGCACAGTGTTCCAAGCAAGAAGAAAGGGGATGAGAGCCACGGGCCTTCTCCTTCTACTGCCAGTGCCTCTTATGAATAAGAAAGATATTTCTCAGAAATCCCTTACCAGTCATCTCTTGTATCTCCTTGGCCAGGATCAGGTTGTATTCCCACCTTTAGACCAATTACAGGCCGAGGGGAGCAAGATGGCCATAGCTGGCTAGTCAGACACTGCAGACACTGCTGCCCAAACCAAGTCAAGGTTCAAGAAGGCAAGTAAGAATGCCAAGGCCACCAATAGCATCTTCCTTAAGAAAAAACAGGGAGACCACCTAAGAAGACCAGGTGCTATAGGCGTAAGAAATAGAAAATAAGGGATTGTAAGCTGACACTATAGGCGTAAGAAATAGAAAATAAGGGATTGTAAACTGACATGTTCCTTGCAATCTGTGACGTCAACCAAGGGTTGCCTCGCCTAAAATAAAATTTAAAAAAAAAAGAAACGGTTTTTTGCAGTCTCAAGTTAGAGTATAAATATGAAAACAGTTTTATTTTACCAGTAACTGTCCCCAACTGTGCTAGATGAACCCCTGTTTCTAACTAGGCAGTGAAACCCCGTAGCAAGATCTCTGTTTGATTCCATAACTTTAGTACTTTCTTCCAGTTATTTAAATTTCATTTCTCAGGTCTCTTCCCTGGTTGTTTTAAAACTTCATTCCCATATCCAGTGCAAAGGCCTCTTCTGCCTTCACCAGCTGAAGCTAGACGAGTGGCTAATCGTTTAGAGTAGAGGAGGATAGAAGGTATGGTCTCTTTGCCCCAAACATAGGCAAGGCTCACTTCTCAGCAAGTCGGTGAGCTCGGCATGGTATCACTTGGCAGCAGCCAACAGCAGTCACTAGGATGTCTTTGATACAAGCTGTGGGGCATTCATTTCTAGTGTGAAAGGCTGCCAACTAAGCCCCTGTGTGGCGTTGTCCTCAGTTATGGGTTTGCCTGTACAAGACAGGAGCAGGTGATCTGATTGCACAGCCAACATGCCACGGGAGATATGATGAGGAAGAAAGTCTTACAAGGGGAAGACAGAAGGCTTCTTAGGGTTTGATTTGAGCTGGGCCTGGGAGAAACAGGAAGGCCCTGCCAGATGGCTTTGAGAAGAGGCATTCTGAGCATAGAGTCCAGCCCGAGCAAAGGTACAGAAGCAAGAGCGTCTAGGTCCTCAGTGGTGGAACAGTGGAGCTGGCAAGTTGGGAAAGGGTAGTGAGGGGAGGTATAGGAAAGATCGGATGTGCCAGCCTTGAATGCCAGGCCACAGTGGCATGTAAAGCCTCTGCCCTTCTCTCCCAGCTATACTGACTGATCTGAATCACCCAGGTGTGCCTGGAACTATGTGCATCAAACTTCAGTGTCACAAAGACCTTCAAGATCATCCACCAACCTCGCCATCAGGCTGTGCTTCCTTTCCCTCTGTCCTGTGAATATCTTGGGCTCTATCGAAGAAGTATTAACTGAGCCAGGCTGAGTGCCAGGCTTCCCCTGGGCTTGGTCCCCTCCCTCCAGGTTCAGCCTGGGTCTCTTTCAGCTCCATCATGGGAAGAAAGTTACACCTGCCACCAACACTGATGACCTTGACAAAAAATCCATAGGAAACATTTTATTTTTCTTCATATGATTTCATGGTTTTCCTTCAGTCCTGGCTGGTGGGAGTCAAACCCACACACTCCCATAGAGGGTGTTCTATTTCTCAAAGGGAACTTCCTCTCTCCCAGCTGCCAAAGGGGCTTGAGTTGTATACTTTGCCAGCTGAGGGAAAGGGAAAGCAGAGAGATCATTCCTAGGGAAATTTCTCTCCAGTTTTGGAGGTAGGGGTGGTTTCCACTTTGTACATAGAGGGAAACAGGCCCAGAGAGCAGAAGTACTAGTCCAAGGTCCCGCAGGGAGTTAGGGCAAAGCCAAGGTCCAAAACCTGGTCTGGACTTTACCTGGCACAAGGCAGCTAGGCAGGATTAATGATTCTCAGGGCTAGAGCCAGCCATGCGAGAGAGCTCTCTGAAGGTGAGCACAAGGGGTGGGCAGAGTGGAATAGGTTCAAGGTCAGACTTACAAGGCTTGCTAGGTTGGGTCTGACTATCAGGACCTAGGAGCAACTGGAATTATAAAAGTAACAGACACAGCTATCCAGCACTGTCTACGTATTTTCACCTTGTTCTCTCACTGGCCGAGAGCAAATCTGTGCACACAGAGAACAATTGCAAAGTCTAAAGTCAAATTCTCAGGAAGTTAGGCTGGTGGGGGGTAAGGTAAGCAGGAAGCCTTCACATGGGGAAGCAAGTTAACACCCTTGCCACAGCTCCACCCACTCTTTTATTTTTCTGAAATTGTATTGTTTTCTCACTATAAAAATAACATGTACATTCCCCCAAATACCTGGAAATATAAGCAAAGGAAAAAGTCAGTCACACTACACCTTCCTCTCTCTGGACTCTACCAATGAGTGCAGAATCTTTCTAGAGCCTTCTCTGTATCAAGTTGGGGCAGGGTCTCTCCTCTGCCCACATGGGAGCAGAGGTGGTTATCTTGCTGCGCTGTGAGGGAAAGTTCAGGAACATGGTTTCATATCTGGGATGGCATCTGCTGGTTAACACTTCCACAGGTGGAAGCCCCATCTTAGCCAGCACCCCACCAGGTAAGCAGGTGAAATATCACCTCACCTGTTCTCCGCAGACCAGTCTCCCACTGGACTTGGCTGGAGATGTGAGCAGTTGCTTTCCTGAACAGTCAGGTAAGTGTTTACGTTTTTTTTTGACTCACCCAAATTAGGATAATTTGAGGAAGGCTTAATAATGGGACTAATTACACAGGTGTGGCAGGTGTAAGAAACCACAGGGAGAATGCAGGGCATGTGCTGTAACACGGGGAGGCCAGCACCTCTAAATCCAAAATGATGAGGTGGTCTCCAGAACCTAACGAGAGCACTGCATGGAGCAGGCATGTCCTCCCTCCCTCCCTTGGGTCTCCTCCCATTTCTGAATCCAGTTGGAAACCAGAGGACAAGGGAGCCTGTTGCGGTAACTATGCAGGTCAGCATTCTGGGCAAAGAGCAGGGCGGAGAGTCATTTTAGGGAAGGAAATGGAGCAAAAAGAAGATACCAGCACAGCGGGCCAGGGCATTGCCAAGTAAGAGGACCAAGGAGATGTGACCGGATCTGCCAGTCATTCCAGCGCACCACCCAAGATGGGGAAGGCCTCTTACTTTAAACTTTTGGAGGTGTTCTACTGAACGCTCCTTCCTCCTGACCTCACTAGGCCTTCTCAGTTCCTCTCTATCTTCTCTCTCAGTCCTTCTGCACACCCACATTTTCCAGAGTCTCTTCCTTGCTCCCTGAAAAACTCCAACCCTCTAAACCTAGAAAGGAGTCCAGGCCCTCTGCCCCTTCTTGAGTCACACAAACATGGCCCTCAAGCTAAAGTCCTAAAGACTAGAGCAGAAGTACAGGCTGCACTAATTTGGCCCACGGCAGAAACTTCCTTCTGCCCGGGCTTTGCTGGCTCTGAAGTGGAAGACCAGACTCTGGCCCAAGAGTGGCGAAGGTGGGCACTATGGATCCAGTTCACCTTCCCATCAGCAAGGAGCAGCCGCACCAAGAGCAGCACCCCTCATCACAGCGAGTGTTCATTTTCTTTCTAAAATGGCCCAGGATGTCACATGTGAGTAAAGGATATATAATCTTTATAATAGAATGAATTTGGTCATGTGTCTAGTGAAGTAAGTCTATACCTGGGTGCTTTTAAAATGA